ATATATATATCATGGGCTTTTGATATGAAATCATTAAAAAGCGTAGCACTTCACAGTCTGGAAAAATGTCCATTTATGGTCCAACCCTACATTTCTATACACACATGAAAAATTGTTCAACTCAAAGCCCTTTAACTAACATGAAATTCCTCATAACCACAATAAGATTTCAAATCCTTTGGTTTTTTCCCCTCCGTTATTTAGCATATATACAGCAACTTCGACCAATTTTCCTAATGCAAAGGAATTCTCTAATCCCTTTATTATTGAAGTTCATGTTATCAAGATTTTACTACATAGTTATATTTATGGAAAAACATTTCCAGCATTTTATTTTCCCTAAGGCCAACACCTCATGGCCAAAACTCATCAACAGCTCCACAACGACTCACCATCTGACCCACCCACTACATGTAATGGCAGCCTAATGTTTTATATCCCCGGGCCAACTCTCCCCCCCCCACCCCCTCACCCCCCAATCGACACCATTTCCATCATTTAGGAAATGGGCTGCTTTCGCCCTGCTGTCAGAGCATACATCCAGGCTGAGAGGGATAAACGTCCGAGCAGACAGACGGAGATACTCAATAAAAAATGCTCCCCACATGGGAATCAAACTCAGGTCTTCAGCATGCTATATAAACTGCCTAACCTCTACACCACAGATACTGGTGTATCCATCCACTACACAGGCAACAATCGTGAGCCACCAAGTGAGATGACTTCTCCTGAACAACAACAACTTGTGCGTGTGGGTACGCAGTCGTAAAGATAGAGCCGACAGTTGTCCAAGAACAGAACAACCAGTGTAGCTCAGTAAGTAAGGGAGAAAAAAAAAAATTATATTTCCCTTGTTCATCTATACATCTTGACGAAACGTTCCCAAACAATGGTCCATATAATTTAGAGATAACATTTTACAAACTGAAGAACTAATTCTTACCAATTCCGACACCAAGTATTGCTCGACCAGCAACGAGCATTGAGATATTCGAAGCTGCTCCAAGCACCAAAGCCCCAACGGTAAACACAAAACTGGCCAAAATAGTCACAATTTTTCTTCCAAACATGTCATTCAAAGGCCCCCCTGCTAAAGCCGCCAAGAAGGCTGCTCCGATAGTGACACTCACAATCACTTCCTGCCAAAAAGACGAGAGGGAAAACTCGTCTCTGAGAAGAAGCATAGCGCCCGACACAACACCCGTGTCATAGCCAAACAAAAATCCACCAACGGCAGAGAATGACGCCAGTAGCCAGACATACGGAGTGGATTTACGAGAATCGTTCTTCATCATGATGCTTATGTTGTTCAAGGTTAAGCCCCTTGAAAGACGTGACGATTCAGATGAAGAGGAATTTCCAAACCCGTTATTGTGGGAGACCTCCGCCTCAGTTTTATCATCTATTTCTTGTGCCTCAGCTGCAGTCCTAACTGTGAGAGTGGGCAGAGAAGGCTGTGCTATGAGTCGTGCATTCTCAGAGTCGGAAAAATTTGACAGCATCAGCTCCTCGCCATCCTGGTCCAAATCGTCACTATCGTCGGATGAAAACATTTAATCTAGATCTAGATCTAGGAGAGACACAGCACAGCTCTTGACTTTGACTTTAACGTTGATGATCACAAGAATTATCATGCAACTAAACTAAGACAAAGACTATTTTTTTCTAGCTAGAGGCTAGAGTGGAAGCAGTTTGAGAATGATTTGCTTTGCCAGGGATCGATGAAAGGTCAAGTAACTACCCCAGACATCAGCACAATATTGACTTATTGATGACAGGCTGCTAGGTCATGGGATGAAAAGTGATACCGGCTCTCCACGTCAATAAAAGAGTTGTTGTTTTTTTTGTTGCCTGCCCAGTCTAACCTAGACTAGATATAGATCTAGTATAGATCTAGATCTCTAGATCTAACATACTTGACTACACAGTCACACACAAGTTTACTAGCGACTGGCGACAGACTGAGACTTAGATCTAAATCTAGATTCTAGATTTAGATAATCTAGTGTTAAATGATTTCTGATAAAAGCAACATGTGTGATAAGTTGGAAAGGCCTTCATTCCAGTCCTTGGCTTCTTCTTTTCCCAAACGACAAGTACTTTGCAAAGAACGAAATCGACAATGGAACACACACAGACACCAGAGAGCCATCAACAATACAATGTTTGTCAACACGACAAAATGCATGGATTTCCTTCCGGGTAAAGCGATAGGCCTAGTTGGATTGATCTTACCCGGCTTCACTTTTCTACTGGCTTGTAGCTTTCAACTTACTGCTGTTTCTTTTTGACCGGAAAAGAAACGAAATGGAAGGAAGGGGGTGGGCGGGGGCTTGTCACAATAAAGTTGTAAGATTTTTTTTTATTAAATAAAATTTTTAAAATATACACGTATTTTATTTTTGAAAAACATGTCCATTTTGCATCCACAATTTCTTTTATTTCTGCTCTATACATCGAGAAAAAAAAATAGTCCTAGTATTAAATTCGGAAAATAAAACCGGAATGGCAGCCAACTTCATTTTATACTGACCTTCACAACAAGTAAAATGGCCGGTATACACAAAGTCGTAAGTGTCAAATCCTCTAGTCGTTTTCTTTTCTCTTCTTTGGTTGATCTTTATTGGTGAATATACGATTATGTTGTCAACCAAGTTAATATATTGGGGCCCCCTTAGTAAAGTGACTCAATACAGGAGTGCATCACTGTTGGGACAGTGATGGTCATCAGCCTTCTGAAACTGAACTGCACTGCACGTTTTTGCCACAGTTTGCACACACTAACTTACGTCCTAAACATTACTTTATGATTATAATGAATGCTCTTTTGATTTGAGAATGAATTAAATATAGACCCACAAATAGAATAAGTAGATCTAGATCTAATAGGCTATAATAAGGGTCAGCAGAACATGGGTTACTAAACAAACATGTTTTAACTTTGAAAGTGGCTATTCTCACCCGCCCGGAAGTTCTCGCAAGATCAACTCCTCCCCTCTTCTTTCTCTCTCTGTCTCTTTCTGAATACTGTCTATCGGTGTGGACGATCAAATTGACCGAAACAAAGTTAAAAAATGATGTTAAAACACAAAAGTAAATTAATTTGGTTGTCTACAAAGATGCTACGGCTATTTAACTTTTCGAATCGAGCCGAACTATGCGGGTCGCCATTTTGTTTTGCCCGGAAATTCTCGCGCTACTCCTCTCTCTCTTTCTCTCTCTCTCCACTGCCCACAGACAAAATTGTACGCTTTTAGTAAGCTACAGTTGTAATGGAACGTTTGTTCACGGCACAGAATTCTACAATTTTTCCTCACAGTACAGTGTAGAATTCTATGGTTTAGGGTGAACGCAAAATTTGGTGAACGCGCACCGGGTGAGAATAGCCACTAGACTCGCCTGCACTATTCTCACTCCGGGTGAGAATAGAGGTGGCCTTTAACTTTCACATTTTACTTTTACTTTTATAGTTAAAGATAATGATAAAGGGAGTGTATACAGACCCGGTAACCGGGAACAAAGTCACAAAGTATACAGACCCGGTAGAGGAACTCTTTTGTGATTTCGGAAAGTTTCAGCGCCCTCTTGGCTCAGGGTAGACCCAGGTTCTTCTAGATCTATGGCCTAGGTCTAGATCTAGACCAAGGAGATCTAGACAGACAGACATAAATCATTGATCTAGTTACGAGGCTAGCCTAGATCTAGATCTAGATCTCTAAATGAAGATTGCGGATGTCTTTTCGATGAACGATCGTTTTTCCTCCGTTTTGGAGTTGGAGGAATCACAATGTGAAGAAAAGAAACAATGTCATAATTTCAATCGAGCAGTCACCCTCTCTCTCTCTCTCTCTCTCTCTCTCTCTCTCTCTCCCTCTCTCTCTCCCTCTCTCTCTTCTGTCTCTGTGTACCGCTCGCATTCTCTTTTTCTTTGTCTCTGTTTCTTTCTCCCCACTCCCACCTATTTCCCAATCTATCTTTCTCTCGTCGTTCCCTCCTGCCAACTGGGACATGTCATCTAGCACTTCCCCCTGCTCTCTCTCTCTCTCTCTCTCACACACACACACACACACACTACCGGATCTGGGCGCTGAAACTTTCCGAAATCACAATAGAGTTCCCCTACCGGGTCTGTATACTTCGTGACTTGGTTCCCGGTTACCGGGTCTGTATACACTTCGAAAGATAAATTACACTCTTTGGATTTGATCACATGGATCACTTTCACAATTTAAAAAATCTTTCTTCACAGATCGTCTTTCTAGAAACCCTAAATCTAGATCTTATCTTATAAAAATGCATGAGGAAATGTTTAACTACTTGTGTCTGTGGTGTAGCAGTTAGACACTTCGCTGTCACATGATGCACTATGCAGGTGACCCGAATTCGATTCCCGGGTGGGAAGAAAGTTTATTTTATTGAGTGTCTCTGTCTTTCTTCTTTCTGTGCTGGGATGTTGCATCCCTCTTAGCCCGGGTTGGCCCTGACATTGCTACTTCAAATTCAAATCAGTTTTTGTCTGTGAGATACCATCTCAGAAATAAAAGGCATAAAATTCCACTTTCCAACGTTTTATTCACATTGGGGAGAGTTTGGGTATAAGGTAAGATTTGATCGTCATATGATCTGAATAGTGCAAGGAGGGTTTTTAATAGAATTCAGAGCACTCATATGTTCAGCACCAAACAGGTCCATTCAAACTATTGAGATTGTCATTTACTTTTTTCCTTGTTTTGCCTGCGGTCTAGATCTAGGTTGATTAAAACTTACTCAGGGAATGATTATGTGTCATTTTTAGTACTTTCTCCCACTTTCTGTCATGGACTCATGCGCACAATTTCTGGGTTTTCTTTTTCAGACAACTGGTCTCACAGGCCTGGCAGTGGCCCGGCACCCTCACCAGGTAAACAGCCCATGAGTCTCCTGTACATTCTTCTATTCTTCACATTTTATTATTAATATATATAGAGAGAGAGAGATCTATATACACTTACCGTATACTGGAGACTACAAACTCATTTGTTTCCCCCAACAGTATTCATGTGTGGCATCTGTGAATGGCCAGAAATCTTGTTGCTCCTTTCAGACGCCTTCACTTCCTTTCAGCTTTCATTTTCCGTTTATTCTGAAATTCTTTTATGAAAGTGTATTATAAAATTAAAATTTCATAACAATGTGAGTGTCTTTACCATTCCTGTCATCAACATTTTTGTACACCGTGGCCGATCAACGTCCCATGAGGGAAAGTGTTAAACTCTGAAAAATTTCTAATGGGGACAATATATTAAAGAGTATTATCTTATCTTTTTACAATGAAAAAGGGACCAAATTTTGCAGACGTTTCACATTAAAAACTCTCCTGTTGACACTGTTGGTGCTATTTTTCACCAGTGAGTTTTGTTGTCACTGGAATCATTGGAAAAAGAGCAGCTCTTATTCTCAGTATTTGTTTTCTGGTAAACCCAATTTTAGTTGTATCTCTATTCACTTGTCTTTTTGTTCGCAAATGCAACTTTGTAAGTTTTCAGTTATTTTCACCAAACCCCTGTGGCATAATTGAGGTAGCTCCCTTCCTACAAAAAGTTTCTAAACATTTTGACAACAATTGTGCTACAGAAAATATGTGTTTTTCTTACAATGATGTGTTGTCCTTGAAATGATGTGATACTTATTTTTTTCCTGGTCACTCATGTTGTTAGAAAGTTTTTACCTCAGCAGACTTCACAAAACTCAATTTAATGACAGCTGCATGTGTAGTGCTACAAGTTCATGTTTTTCTCACAATATTCATTTGTTACATGTTCTGTATATTCTTCAGACCTTGAAAGTCCTGTATGGGAAAATCTTGAGTCAGTTGAAGAAGATGCCCACAGAAGCTGCATACCGCAGGAATACCGAGCTGATTGTCAACGAAAGACTTGCTGCCGTCACAGCAGTAAGTGGAGATTTGATCAAATAAACATTTTGCAGGATTTTGTGTACATACGGAACCACCGGAAATGATTTAAACTAATTTGAACTCTTTTTAAGGAAAAATTTCGTAGCATGTCCTGTCCCAAACAAGAATCTAGACCCAGAATTGGAATAGAAAACGAACAGTCGGGGAATTTGTTTACCCCAGTCGCTAAGGTAGTAGTCGAATTTCAAATGACTGCAAATATGAATGTTTGCAATCTGTTCAGCGTGTTTTGTCGGGATAGTAGTGATTCCAGAGGAAACAGACTGCATGTCAATGCAAAAAGTGTGATTAAATTTGATTAAAATTGCGAAAGTGCAGGGAAAATGCCTTTCTCCAATTTTGCTATTTTGATGAGCGTCTGATTTGACCATGATGCCTCACATATTGTGACATTTCCTCATGTGATGACTGATAGACTGAGCTAGTCCTCATGTGATGACTGATAGACTGAGCTATTTTCTCATGTGATGACTGATAGACTGAGCTAGTCCTCATGTGATGACTGATAGACTGAGCTAGTCCTCATGTGATGACTGATAGACTGAGCTATTTCCTCATGTGATGACTGATAGACTGAGCTATTTCCTCATGTGATGACTGATAGACTGAGCTAGTCCTCATGTGATGACTGATAGACTGAGCTAGTCCTCATGTGATGACTGATAGACTGAGCTAGTCCTCATGTGATTTTCTTTTTCCCCTGACAGGAGCCGGACGTTGTGAAGCTGGAGCAGAGAATTAATTGTGGCCAGATCGAGGAGGTCATCATACAGGTGGGTGCTGCCAAGGGAGGGGGCTGGTGGGCTGCCAAGGGAGGGGGCTGGTGGGGGGTGGGGGGGGGCTGCCAAGGGAGGGGGCTGGTGGGGGGTGGGTGCTGCCAAGGGAGGGGCTGGTGGGGGGTGGGGTGGATGAAAAGGTTGGGCATTATTTACTTCTTCTCTCCCAAGCCTAAACGGCTGATGATACCGTACCTCATATTTCTACACCGTGTGTCTGGGGTTTTTTCCTCACAAGTATCTGCTTCACTTTGATCTTCTGTTGTGATCTTGCAGAGTCGATGAAAGTGAATGTTTTCTTACAATTTTAATTTGTCTATTTTTAGAAGGGTTAAACGGGGGTTGGATAACACAACTAGTTTGGATTTCTTTTCTCCTATTTCGTTGTTTTTGTTTGTCAGTCTCTCTTTTTTTCATTCACTCAACCAATGTTTTTGCACCTAATCAATGTGCTTCACTTTACTAAAAAATATCAAACAGGTTTGAAGTGGAATATTTTTTTCTCCTTCTCGCTCATTTTGATTTTACTTTGCTCATTGAGTGTCATGTGACCTGATGTGGGCTTTTGGAAAACTGTCGGTTGATTTGATGTTGTCGCTCTTCCCAGGCTGAGAGAGAACTCTCGCTGTCCCGGAGAATGCTCCAATGGAAACCGTGGGAACCTTTAGTGGGACAAGCTCCGCCCAACCAGTGGAAGTGGCCGCTGGCATGAGACAGACAGACAGACAGAGACAAAGATATGAAGCGGATGACTGTTTTAAACGTTTAGTGGTAGTAGAATCCTGACTGTGAATGACTTGTGCTTGGACTAATACTATAGAATTTTTCAATTATATTTTTCGTCTCACAAGATGGAATCAACTGCAACTGGCTGATTAGTCGAATAAAATTGAAGTGTGAGGAATAGATTCTTTTCGTTTTATTTGTTTGCAGTTTGGACCGCCGAGCAATGATGGTTGATGGTTATAATTATAAAGTCCCACTTCTTTTCTTTCACTCTGGTATTTTTTTCTGTCTTTTTGTCCATCCTGCCTTTTCCCTGCTCTGACTGATCGTTATTGTGAATATATATGTATGTATGTGTGTTTGTATGTATGTGTGTGTGTGTGTGTATTATATACCACAGATTGAGAACTGTAATTTTTTTTAGTGTCAAAATTTTGAGCTTGGTACATTTCAACAGCTGGCGGAAGATTTGACATTCCTGGGGTCAGAGGCAGACAACAGACGGGATACTGTTAGTTCGCTTTTGTTGTAAAATGTATAACATTTACCGAGCCGCAGCAAAATTTTCTTCTTTGAGCTGGAGATCAATAAAATCTTATCTCAAAATGAAGAAACTCCAGTGTGTGGGGACTGGTATGCTTGCTGTAGATCAAAGAAATCTGCAACAGTTGGATCACTGCTAGTGCTAGTCTTTCCTTTAAATTAATATCTGCCTAGAATTTTCCCATCAAACAGTCTGGCACACACATACCATACATGATGTAAGGAAAAATGGAAAAACTAATAGATTTTCAGGTTGCAGATTTTTTCTTTAATAATTTAATAATAATAATATTGCAAATAATTTCTCTAGTGCCCTCACCTGTACAATACAGCTCTAGGTGTTTGACAACACCTTCATCTTGTCACAGACTACTTCATGTACGGTTCATGAACATTCCGAACATACATAAAAATATACACTCTTTGGATTACAGTATCACATGGACCACTTTCACAAGTTAAAAAATCTCTCTTCACAGGTCATCTTTCTAGAAACCCTATCTTATCTTATCTTATAAAAAGGCTTGAGGAATTGTGTAAATACCTGTGTCTATGGGTGGGGAGAAAGTTTTATTGAGTGTCTTGGTCTTTCAGCCGGGATGTGCCCTGACAGGCAGGTTTGGAAGCCAGCCTCCTAATTTACCTAAACTGTGTTGCTGGGAGCATAAGAAATATCTACTCCTACGGTACCGTACATTCAACAAATAAATGTGTGTAAATATCATGAACCAAATGTCGTTATAAGACACCACACTAAGGCCAAGGTCATTTGGAAACGTTAGTTCCACTTGGTAACTTTGTGGGTGGTTGGAGCGTGCCACTGGCAGAACCTACGTATGTTCTTCCCCACTGATTTTCCCGTCTGCCCGCTCTGTCTTTTCCCCTGCACTGAGTGACCACTGTTGTGTCCATGTGCTTCTTCTCTCTCTTCAAATGAATCATTCCAACTCAGACTTGATGACTGGACTGAAAGTACTCCTAGCTCTTAGTCTTGTCTCTACTTGTCCAACGTCTAGACTGGCACTCTAGAGGTGTTCCTGGAACTACTGATCTTAGTCTTGTCTCTACTACTTGTCCAACGTCTAGACTAGCACTCTAGAGGTGTTCCTGGAACTGGAAGGTCCCTAGATGGGAGAAGTCGGCCATGTGGTCGTGCTGTGGCTGTGGCTGTGGCTGTGGCTGATAGACGGAGTGCTCGGCTGTTGCCATGGTCGACCCAGCGGGTATCACCAGGACGGGCTGGGGGTGGGGCACGTGGTGTAGGTGGGAGGAGCTTGGGATAGACGGGGGAGGGGCAAATGTCATGACAGATCCGTGAGGGGGAGGAGGAGGAGGCAGGCGGGAGGAGGGGAGGAGCAGCGTCTGCTGGGGAGGCGGGGCTTGTGGTGACGACAGCTGGTGTATCGCTGCATGACAGTCGGCCTCACGGGGCTCGTACTGGGACACCTGGGTGACCTCCGCTTGGGCGGCGGTGTGGACGTTAGCCAGGCTGACGGAGATCACTTCACCGCGGGGATCTGACAGGACGGATGACGATCCACTGGAGTGGATGTCGTTCAGGTTCAGGCCCATACGGATAAAAAACTCCTCGGCTGTCATGTCCCTCTCCAACCTGTGAGGCTCAAGACTTTCCTCCAATCTCCTCCCACCAGCTACGTGTGCTGTATTTTCTAAAACGACTCGATGTCTGTTGGAATATTGCTGTGACTCGACTCCCACTCTATACGCTGAGCCGCAGTCTTCAACTCCTTTCTTGTACCCTGAGTCGGCTCCTCTCTTCTTACTTTCCTCGTGTCTCACACTCACCACAGGAGCGGAGGAAGCACCCGGGCCTTGCCTCGTGTCTGTGAGCGTGGTGGGCGTGTCTGCGAGGGAGGTGGGCGTGTCGGTGAGGGTGGTGGGCGTGTCCTTGCTCGTCTCCACAATGGCGGAAGACTGAGCGGAGAAGGAATCTGTCTTGTCCTCTGCAGCTCCACTTCCTTTTTTCTTCTTTCCTTTCCCCTGAGCAGACGTGGTGGCCAGTTCCACGCTCCCTTCGGTCTCCCCGCTGTGATGTTTCTTCACATGTTCTCTCAGCTTGTCCACGCGACTCGAGGCGTACTCGCACACGTCACATTTGTGGGCCCGCACCGCCGAGTGGGTGCGCTCGTGCCGGACCAGATGCGACCGTTCGATGAAAGCTTTGCTGCACACCTTACACACGTGCTCCCGTATGCCGAGATGGCTGCGCATGTGCGCCTCCAGTTGAGAGCGTTTGGGCGTGGCGTACTTGCAGGAGGGGAAGTTACATCGGAACACATCACCTGTCCAGCACATCAAAGGGGACAAACAAAAGGTGATGTTACTACATCTGAACAGATAACTCGTCAACATGGAGCATAAACTTAACTTTAGGAACATCTACTGACACATACAATAAGAATATTTAGGATAAGTACAAAGACTCACTACTTTTCTTACGTGCTCTTTCACAGACAGATAAAGATAGTTTTAAAAGATTTTTAAAACACCACTGTCAAAACTGGCCTCAGAGAAACAAACATTTTGAAATCATTTGCTGCAATCTCAGACTCCTATATGATAAAAAGAGTGGCAAAAACATAAGCAATTTCATAAGAAAAAAGAGCATACAAATTTATACAAAAACCAAAAAAAAATTTTAAATGTCTTCAATTTAACAAGTACTGTAACTGACTTAAAAGAAATAGCATTCCACACTGACCCACATTTCTAAACAATCAATCAAATCTACCAAATAAAATGGCCCTATTCCTGGCAACTGTCTGATACAGTGATAGTCAAATTCATCTATCACTTTGTCCAAAAGTAACCAAACAAAATATATCATAAATTTCTTTTCCAATGTTTTACGACAATCTATGTTGTTCAGGACGTTTTCAAGAAAAATTCCTTGAAATGTGAAAAATCTACAAGAAACAAAAAACTTTTGAAAGTGCATGAAAAAGAAACATCAAATAGAATATCTTTGGCTACCAGCCTATTTGATTAATATTTAATCCACAACTTATAATTGACCAGTCAGTATCGTGCTCTGTATTTTTCAACTGTGAAGTATAAGAAGAAACAAGCTGGCCACCTGTGTGGATCTTTTTGTGCGCGATCAGATGAGACTGGAACTTGGTGGAGAAGCCACAGAGGTCACACAGGTAGGGTCGGAGGTCGCTGTGAGTGACCATGTGCTGGTCAAGCGTGTTCTTCAACTTGAACGTCCGGCTGCACTCAGGGCACTGGTATTTCTTCTCGTCTGAAGGTCGCAGTGAGGCGGGGAATGTGGGACAAGAGGGGGGAAAATAGAAGTAAGGACTAGGAGACGCCAGTCAAGTCAAAGAAAGTCTTCCTCCTTGCTGTTTGGTGTACATAAACAATGGATGAAGTGAACCTTGCATCATTTCAGAGAACCCAAGCTGTAATTGCCATCCCTATTATTCCAACAAGTACACATTATTCCCCTCATCCTACTTATGAACAGAGTAAAAGCCTACTTCTTAAGCTCACTCTTTGTCAGAAACTGTTTACTTATGAAAAGAGTAAAAGCCTACTTCTTAAGCTCACTCTTTGTCAGAAACTGTTTTCACTGGTATTAAAAATGGAGACAGGACAAGAAAGCACACGGTCCTATTGGAGACGGACGTTAAACTAGGAGGTCCCACCCCTTAAATAACCTAAAAGTGTTGATAGGGGCGTTAAACCCATACCATTTCACCATTTTCAAGAAAGCACCGAGGTCGCGATCTGTTACCAAACAAACCCAAACAAACCCAAACAAACCAACCTGAATGGTTTTTGATGTGTGCGTACAGATTGTTCCTTGTCCGGAAAGCCATGAGGCAAGAGCTGCAGACGTACGGCCGGTCGTCCGTGTGCTGGCGCCGATGAGTCAGGAGGGTTGCCATTTTGTCCGTACTGAAATGACAGTCTTCCCCGTCACAAAGGTACGGAGGACCTGGAAGTTGAAAGGAATTATCAAAGTTGGTGTAACATTTTTTAATAGATTTTTTTGCACAAGGCACAATCCGACTCAACTGAAGCAGAAAGTAAAGAAGGAGCAAGAAAGCAAACTTCTGCCACGGATGATTCCCCGTAGACTAATCACACTGCCAGGGACTTTGCTCTCGCCAGTTTCTCGGGCAATAATTCTCACCACACAGAAAGGGTTTAAACAAAAGTTTATCAAACCAATCACAGGAGAGTAGATGGGATCTCCGTCTATCACTCAACTTAATACAAGTCACAGGGCCCGCTTTTCCCAACTTGACCCAGAGCAACTTTCTCACAGAACTTGAACCATAGGGTGACACAGTGACAGTGACAGTGACAGGGAAAACCCAGGATAATAGAGTCAAATTTTTTTTTCTCATAAATCCAAACAAAGATACGAATGAGGAATTATAACGGCCAATGTCTGGTTCAGACAATTCTTCATGGTGATAATAATAGCCCACACATTTATCTCGCACCAATTTATTCCCTCAAAATAATGGTCAGAGTGTCTGATGTGGTTCAAAAAGTTCATTTTTTACAATGTAGCTCTTCTACCTGTCCTGCCTACACTGTAACAGTTTCAAAACAAACGTAGCTCATAAAACATTGGCAAAGTTCAGTTGGAGGATGTAACGCTATATTGGACTAAACTTTTTAAGTGGAAGATTTTCTGAGGACTTTTGCGCTGCTTCCTCTTTTACCCTCAGCAACCTGTTTGAGTCTTCTATTCCTCAATCTATCTCTTGTTTAGCTACTTCAGAAGATTGTCCTTCTTAATTAAAAGCCAGTTCAATGAAGAAGAAAAGACCCAAAAAAATTTCTTTTTTTCAAACTAAAGAGAATTGCCTTTAAGCCATTTTTTGAAGTTAATGAAAAAAAAGACTCAAAATATTTCTTACCCTGAAAGTGCTGCGACTTTAAGTGCTCGTTGAATTCCTTGTTCCACTTGCAGACAAAGTCACATAATGGACAGCGAAATGTTCCTTTACTCTCGTGAGCCTAAGCCAAAGAGAATACATCAGTGTTTCATAATGCTGCAATATTTCTAAAAACCTGTTAATCAGTCAAGCACATTTAACTTGAACATAAGTGATATACAACTTGAAATCACAATCTTTGGATGAGTGTTAGGTCCATGCAATATTGTCTCTGTTTTAAGTCACAATCTTTGGATGAGTGTTAGCTCCATGCAATATTGTCTCTGTTTTAAGTTCTGCAAACCTAAAACGAAACAAACAAAAAAAAAAATATATATATATATATACAGGTAGAAAAAAAATCATGCCCTGAAAATCTGTTCACTGTGTGTGTGTGTTTCGCTAAGAGCATGTTCCCTGCATGTGTGCCAGATCGTATATCAAAATACAAAACATTTACACACAAATAAAGCTCCCAATTCAAAGCTTTACGACAATTACCTTTTTCTTATGTTTGTCAAGTTCCACTTTGGTGTTGCAGGAAAAGCTACAAGTTGAGCACTTGAGTGTCCGTGGGGGCTCATCTTTGGTGAGTTTCTTAGTCGAGGAGGAGTCTTCTTGAGACAGCTCCTGTGACTTGAGTTTTGCAGAACTAGCTTCAACAGCTTTGCCTCCTTTCTTACTCTCTTCATACGCCTTGCTGGGAACTACTATTTGGAACAGAAATTGTTGTAGTTGCAGTGAAAGAAACCTTCCAAAGTGGATGTTCTGAACATACTACAAAGATCAATTCATAAAACTCTATACACCTTGCGAGTACACGGTTAGGTTGTTGTAAATTTCCACGTGGCAGCACCCAGACAAAAACATCACTCAGCTCATCTTTTTCTGTTACAAAATTCTACTTACAAGAATCATCTCAAAATTTGTTCCAAACATGACAATCTAACATAACCCTACAGAATCAAGCTAAGTAAGGAGGGGGGGGGGGGGGAACAATGACAACTCAAACAACCTAGATTTATGCTTAAAAATGCGCTCTATGTCATTTCAAACATGGCCATCTAGACTATCATACTATGGTCTTGCTAGATAACACCTGAACTACTAACGGTGTGCCCTTGGCAATAAGTTGACAGTGACTGTACTATCCAGTGTTAAAAAATGAAAGCCCACGTAATTGTCCTGACCCCTGTGTATATATATATATATATATATATATATATATATATATATATATATATATATATCCCTGTATATATATCGGTGTTCAGTCTTACCCTTTGTTTGCCCCCTCTGTGGTCGACCCGAGGCCCGCAGACTGACAGTCCTGGTCTCATCAGACGTCACCTCCACAGATTCCGTCGTAACTTCCTTACGCTGCTCCCTAACCCTGGTGGACATTCTTGGAGCAATCGGGTCAGCTTTTGTCGTGATTGTCTTGGAACCTTTCCCCTTCCCATCACTAGAGGAGCTCAGATCACCACTTCTAGCACTTCGGGTGTTGCTTCTAAGTATTTCTTGATCCGGTGGAGACTTCGACACTTCTTTGCTAACAGCTTTTTCCGTGCTCCTTTGATTACTTTGAACAAGTTCAGATTTTCTTTTCTTTGCCTGTCTTGATGAGCTTGCTTTCTCTTCTTCTTTCTCAGTTTGTTCCTCGGTTGATATCAATCGACGGGGCAGTTTGAGTTTCCTTTTCATGCTTCCCCGAGAGCGATGTGCTCTTAGCGCGGGTTCACCAAGCGTGTCGCCCTTCTCATCTCGGCCACTGACGTCAGGCGAGTCCGTGTTGTCTTTGCTCGGTTCATGAGGCGACTCGCTCACACACTCTGGGGACTCCGTGACACTGATGGGCACTTTTTTCTTCCGACTTTTTGAAGTTTTCTGATCAGGTTGATCGACATCTGCAGAAACTTGAGGTTGCCGTGAGTGAGCCGAGTCAGCAGCCTGAAGCGTTGGTGAGTTTGAGATGACGGATAAACTGACAGGGTGAAACACTTTGTGCCGACCGGAGCCCAGATCGACGATGCTGGTGACGACGCTGGAGAGGAGATAGCTGTACTGTTCTCGCAACGCCTCAAACTGGTCTGTGTACGGGCCCAGCGTGATGGCGGCCGAGTGCAGCGTCTGCAGCAACAGGTACAGCGACGATGGGTTGGAGGTGAAGAAGTTCTCCGTCTGGCTGATCTCCAGCAGGAAATCTTTGGCCACGACCTCCCAGTCCAGGTGACCCAGCAACAGAACCAAGTACTGCTGGCGTTTGGGGACGTCGCCGCGCAGCCAGGAAATGATCAGAAACAATTTCATCTCAGGATTCAACCTTGACACGTGGTGAGAACCCAGGAACGCGTTGAACTGCTCGGGAGCCAGGTCTCGGAAATCAGACTTCTGGACGGCATCGTCCAAATTCTCACCCAAGAATCTCACACAGCCAGACTCTAGATCTGAGAGCTGGAACTTAACGGCCAGGTGGAAATGACTAATCACGTTATCGACAGTCGTGGTGCGGATCAAGTAGGTCTCACACATGGACCTCAGTATATGAACCTGTGGGGGAGGAAAAAAAGAAAGATAGAAGAAACACAAACCCGACCCAAAAGCAATAAAAGGACATTTTTTAGCACAGATGAAATTGTGTATTAATAAAAATAAAAGAACTACATAATAATACATCATCGTCATCATCATCATCCAGTGCCAGATCTGCGACAGACACCGGCGATCATGGTTCTCCATTCATTCCTTTGCTTGGATGCTCTCAGAAAAGCTACGTTTCCTTGATCTTTCCCTGTTACCCATTTGTTTAGGTTCCTCAAGTACGTTGTTTTGGGCCTTCCCCTGCTTCGCTTGCCCTCAATTTACATAAAACATGTGATTCATAATTTCACATTTGTTAATTCCAGGCAGTCATATTTTTCGGAGGATATATAAAGGTTGGTTTTTCTCTTCTTTCAAAATCTGTCAACTTTTTCGACACTAGTACATGTATCCTCTCAATGAGGCAGCTTAGGCAATTACCTCTGTCAACTTTTTCGACACTAGTACATGTATCCTCTCAATGAGGCAGCTTAGGCAATTACCTCAACATTGCACACATTCAAGTGTTTCCATTTTGTGTCCAAGAACCACTTCTCCTCTCTTTGCACACTAGGCCCTGCAGTCTTCTTACTTCATGAAGCACTATCCTATATTGGTACCACAAGTAGACAAGTATATATATTGGGTGACCTTATTTAGGCCATATGTGGCCTAAATAAGCTAAACCCCCCTCCCTTACCTTGTGTAGGCCATATGTGGCCTAAATAAGCACTCTCATGTATATTACCACAAGTAGACGAGTATATATATTACCACAAGTAGACAAGTATATATATATATTACATATGAAAAACTCACTTCTGACTAATAACAAAAATACCATAGAAAAAAAAGAAGAAGTCTACCTGGAAAGTTGAAGCCAACAGCAGCAACGTGGATATGTTGGACATGGCCTCCTCCAAAACTCCCGAGTACAGGAAGTTCAGGAAGCTCTGGAAGGCGTCGTGCTGGTCACATAACACACGTACGTGCTGCGTGGTGGCCACCCGCGGGTCCAGCATGTTCCTCATCACCGGGCTCCACACCACCAGAACAAGGCGGTGGGCATTGTACCGGGCACCACTCAGCTCAAACACCAGGTCACAGAACTCCTCACTCTAGGGAGGAAAGGGACATTTTGAAACTGGACAAAATTGTTTTTGATCAACTCAAATAACTGCCATTGTCTATACATTACTAACAGGATGAACATACACCAGCGGGTTCAACAGATAGGCCCACACATTAACAAAGATAGCAAACACATACATCACAAAGTCAAACGAACATACACCAGCGGATTTAACAGATAGGCACACACATACATCGCAAAGTCAAACGAACATACACCAGCGGGTTCAACAGATAGGCACACACATACATCGCAAAGTCAAACGAACATACACCAGCTGGTTCAACAGATAGGCCCACACATTAACAAAGATAGCAAACACATACATCACAAAGTCAAGCAGTGGGAAGAAAAGATGTGCAAATAAATACAGGCTGCATAAGATCAAAAGAAAAGTTATGGTCTAAAAAAGACATTTCAGATAGACTGAAAACATAGAAGAACTTTCTAAAGAATGTGACAGAAGCAAAACCTCACTCTCACTGACTCTCAGCCTGGCTTGGCCCCAACATGTGTGTAAAAGCAGCCTGCCTCCTACATTATTTTAAATATGTCCATTTTGGATATAAAACAGGTACAATCTACAGTTTTGCAGTGCCATTGAATGAAAGAGCAAAGGTTTTATTTTCAGTCAGTCAATGACATGTAACATTATTAGCAGATTAAAAAATTTCACAACTAAACAACTTGTCTACTTTTGTTCTAAAGAATCAGAACACTCACCTCTTTTAAAGCACATAATTTATTGATGAGAAAAGAATGTGGTGGTGAATCGCACAGAGGTAGAATGTCGCTCTGCATCCTCAAGCTGTGAAAGTAGAAGAGGCACAGTGTTGAGTTGTTCCACAGTCTTTCTGTCGCTACATCTGTCTCGCAGATATGAGATAATCTCTGCCAGAATTTGATATTCTTTACAGTTCTGGGGAAAACAAGAAACATAGATATAATAAAAATTAATCACTGCTATTTATAAGCATTCGCTGAGTCCTGAAAAAAAGCTCAAATACCTGACAATCTCAGTCATAATAATGAGTGTTGGAGAAGAATTCTTGGTCTCTGACAAAATTACAAAAGATAGTGAAAATAAGGTTGAATAGAAACGATAGAAATCAGTCTGTACGTGGTGACAGCGGAGATTGTCATGGAAGGAAAAGAAATCAAACAAAGTAGTGCTAGAAGAAGCTAGCTGGTGGTGGGGTACGCTGACAAATGAAAAAAACAAAATTAAGAAGAGACAAACGCAGACACTTGTTTGAGTTTAGTTGGGTTGTTTGTTTGTCTTTTTGTTTCGAGCATTTGGGCAGAGAAAAAAGTGGCAAACCAGGAAGTGAAGAAAGCCAACAATGTCTGTTCAGATCACGCTGCACTTATCATGATGATGTTTCTCCAGTTGAACAGGAAGAAATAATAGAGACTCGTACAATTCGGCGACAGTTTCATAAACAAAACGTGTTGAACTAGCTAGTTCTGCCACACAGGTAGGAATATATATATATATGTATTTAATAATAACGTGATAAACCATTTCTCGTTGTCTAAGTTGGCTAGTTCTGCCACACAGGTAGGAATATATGTATTAGTAATAATGTTATAAACCATTTCCCGTTACCCGTTGTCTAACACAGGTAGGAATATAGGTATTAGTAATAACGTTATAAACCATTTCCCGTTACCCGTTGTCTAACACAGGTAGGAATATATGTATTAGTAATAACGTGATAAACCATTTCCCGATGTCGAAGTTGGCTAGTTCTGCCACACAGGTAGGAATATAGGTATTAGTAATAACGTGATAAACCATTTCCCGATGTCGAAGTTGGCTAGTTCTGCCACACAGGTAGGAATATAGGTATTAGTAATAACGGTATAAACCATTTCCCGATGTCGAAGTTGGCTCTGCTCGGAGAAGGAAGCGATAAGCGAAAACGTGGATTTGTTTACAAACAAACCTAGTTCCAAATGGTTGGTCCATTTAATCACGTGGTACAAGATGGCATGGGGGACAGGGGGAAAATGATCCAACACGGAAATAGGGAAGAAAGTGGTCGTAAATTCGGAAAATGGGTCTAAAATTGATATGAGATGCTGAATCTTGCAGTAAAACCCTTAAGTCAAAAGTGTATATCACAGAAATACAAAATTGACGTGAAATCACGAAGCCCAGCAAACATACCGGTCGGGAAAGGGTGGCTGTATCTTGATATGTTCCCCAGGCCAGACATGATGGACCGGCACAGTCACGTGACCTCCCCCTGCTGGACGGGCAGGTTTCCTCAAGGCGACATGTTGCCGGTTTTGCTCGTCAATCATTTTGTGAACGGTTCTGGGTGTATAGTTAATTTATTTATTTATTTTATAAAATGTGAAAATAAATGAATCACATTACATTCACAACGTTTCCAGAACCAAATACCTCAGGCCCGAGACATACTAGATCTAGGATCGTTTAGTATTGGCTTTTAAAATTCATCATGTAGTCTAAATGACCTGTAATATGAGCCACCTTTATATTACATGTATGTGCAAAAAATACAAGTGCCGGCACACTACATGTAAGCCTACATAATTATATGATTAATACCACAATAGGTACAGTATATACGATATAGGCCTCATTAAAAAATTGCAATACCGTTAACTTGCAGCGCGCGCGTTGGTGTTTGTGTGTGTGTGTGTGTGTGTGTGTGTGTGTGTGTGTGTGTGTGTGTGTGTGTGTGTGTGTGTGATACAATAAGAACGTTTCTTAGAAAACAAGCTTTATTTTCATCAGAATATATATAATATTGATACTTCAGAGCACAAACGTGCATTGCGACATATTTTAGAACTTTCAAAAGTTTTAGGAGGCTGGCTGCATCGACCCTGGCTGACATGTGCCGGCCCTGACTGAGAGTGATACAATGTTGGTTTTTTCCTGATTGTTCGTCTACTCAGAGCATTATAAAAGACAAAAAGGTTTCTAATCCAGTTTTCTTTCAGAAAATATATAAAGATGACATTTTCAGTAGAAAGGGTAATCTTGCAGCTTCTAAGTCTCCCACTCCACCATGACATTTATTGTCAACAGTTGACCATCATAGAGTCATAGCCAGAGGTACAGGTAAGCAACCTGTGAAATAAAATAAGACTCCTGAAGCCGCCTCCTGATGTAGAAAATAGTGTGGATGATGTAGAAAATAGTGTGGATGATGTAGAAAATAGTGTGGATGATGTAGAAAAAAGTTGGGATGATCTAGGAAAAAAGTTGGGATGATGTTGAAAAAAGTGTGGTAGATTTAGAAAATAGTGGGGATGATGT